TATTCTTCCACTGCTGTCAATGACAGCTGGGGGGAGGAAGGACACAAAAGCTGCATGTTTCAAGGCAGCCAAGAGGGGATGTTAGGCATCTTCCTATTCCACCCTCCCTGCTGATAACAGGGGCTGAATCACTGTCTCATTTGGAGCCCAAAGGCTTCATCTTGCACCCCAGAAACAAAACAATGGTGGGGAGGGAGGTCTATTAGAGGCTATTGGCTGTAAACCAAATCACAAGTCAGGCAGGTGAGAGTTTTTGCTTCAAATCGCCTGCCACAAGCTAGCACAAAGCAGTTAATAAATGCCAGGCAGCCCAACCTCTCTGAAAAGAGGGTGATACTGTCCTCCTCCCTGGTAGTACTCAAACTTACTAAATACCCAAAAGGCAGCTCCTCCACGACAAGCCATGGACAAAGCCACTGTGGATCACGTGCTTGTGCAACAGCACATTCAGATTCACAGGTCTTGCACAGGAGCGTGTGAACATGCAGGACAGACCCAGGCTGCTAAATTTGATCCCTGTATCCCCACCACCTACCCTCTTTTGCAAAAAGCAACAACTGCAGCACAAGAAAGAGCATAGCCCAGCCTCAGCTGAGAGCCTGGCTTGGTAAAGCAGAGAAAAATGGCTCTAATGTCTTGGGCTGCAGTTACAGTAGAACCTCTCAAGGGCAGGGAATAAGGTATTTAGAAAAGATAAAGCAAACGAGTTCTGTGGGATAACAAGAAGTGAAACAAAAAGCGAAAAGAAAACATAAAACTGCCTTTTTCACCTTGCTGCAAAGTGCATTTACCACTTCAAGATGGGAAGGAAAGACAGTGTTTTCCTGCCAGCTAGGAAGAGCAGCACAGCCTAGGAAAGGTAGAAATACACTGTAGAGATTTAATCCTCAAATCAAACCTAGGCTGCAAATGCAGAGAGGATTGCTTCCTGTTGCCAGAAAGCAGAAGGCGGCAGCCGGGAGAGCGCAAACCCTGCTGGGTGGGCAGCCAAGAGGGAGAGCAGCGTGTGTGACACATTAGAGCCAAGCAAGAGTGCACCGCAAGTCCCTGCTTTTGCTCCAGGCTTGGCAAGAGGATAAAGCAAAGCCAGGCAGATTTCAGCACATCTCCCTCCTCCCCCGGGACAGCAGGCTTTGTTGCTGCCTGATTTATAAAAGGAGTTTGGTGCTTTGTAATGTGAGCCAAATTCACCCCGGTAATAGAGGATAAAAAATCCAAAACACCATCACTTCCCTTTTTAAACCCTATTTGGAAACAAACAAACAAAAGGCATAAAAGGCATTTGAAATCTCTCTTAACCTGTATCACTCAGGACAACTCTTTTTCCTGTGCCAGCTCCTTGTCCCTGTCCTCCCACAGACACAAGCGCCAGGTACTCCTGCTCCTCCCTGCCACTGCATCGGCCGCCTGGAAAAGCCACCACACAGACCGCCCTGCACAGCAAGGGCTTGCATTTAATTTTGCAGTTACTTTCCCTGACACAGGACTCCCCCATGTGCTGTTTTCCCAGGCTGGCCTGGTGACACCAAACCATCAGCACATGCTGATGAGGCCCTCAGAGACTTCTCCTCCTAACGAAGGGTCTGCAGCAGGCACTGAGCATTGCCACGTAGTTGCACCTCCAGTACCCCTAGGCAGGATTGCTAGAGGGTATCTACATCATAGTGCACAGGCACTCAAGCAGACTTTAAATCCAGCCAGCAAGGGTATTGGAAAAAGTTTAGCCAGGGCTCATGAGCAGAGGCTCGGCTGCCAGAGGAGTCATTGCTCCCAGTATCCAGCACCTACCTGCTCCTCAACCAGAGCCCTCCTCTGCAGTTCAAAACCTTGGCTTTAAGGCCAGTTTATATAGCTGAGCTCTGCTGCAATGAAACCAGGCAGAAAAAACTTTGCTGGGCCTGCTTTTTTAGACTTTTCCCCCTTCTGCACCCAGACAAAAGCTTTATCTTTCAAAGAGGAAAAAAAAAAAAAAAAGAAAGGAAAAAAGAATGGGAATGGCACTCTCACACAGACACACACTCCCTTCCTCCTCCTCCTCCTCCCAGAACAGCCGCAGCCTGGTGCCAAGACGTTCACCTGGGATGCGAGGGAGGCCGCGGTCAGCCGACGAGTGCAGAAATGGCAGTGACAGTAAACCATGCCCAGTGAAGAATGGGAGATATTACAAGGATGATAGTAATTATCTAAATGAGCCTCTGAGGAGAGAAAACAAACCAAACCATGAAATGTTCAGCAGCAGCACCATCAGCATCCAAGGGCAAGGTCTCTAACCTCTCTGCCGGGCTGTCGGGCTCAATAAAACGGACGAGAGGTGGGGAAGACAGGGTTTCGGTAGCAAAGATGCCTCCCTGGAGCTGAAGTCCGAAGCCATTCAAAGGGTCTCCCCTGAGCACCACCTCTGTTGTCTCCGTGTGGACTATCTGCCCGCCAGGACCCACCGTGCTGGAGGCCAGCGACACTGAGAGGAGGAGAGAGGCAGAAAGTCAGGGTAGCCACGGTCAACATAGCAGATCTGGTCACAGACCTTAGTCTGGCAGTGGTAGGGACAGTGACTGAGGATGAGGGAGGAAGCGACAGTGCTGAGATGAGGGGTCCTACACCAGCTAACAGTCAACAATAATGACAGTAAGGTAAGCATGCATGCCCTGTCCAACCCAGTCCCAGCCCACTGCCATTCTTACGTGAGCTCTTATGCTCCTTCTTCTTCTGCCTCCTCCTCAGCATGGTGGTGCGGGGGCTCATGGGGTGGGAGCTGCGAGGTAGCGTGTTCGAATTCTGGCAGGGGAAGCCCTGCGCGTTCATGGTAGGAGATGAGAAGTTGGCAGCCACCAGAGCTGAGGAAATACAGAATGTGTTACGGATGTGCAGACAAGCACAGCAGTGGGTTCACCTAAGAGATGTTCAGCAAACACCTAATGGGTTCTGACTATCTCCTTCTCCCCAGCCCCAGGGCTCAAGACAAGGTGAGAACCTTGTCCTGGGCTTGCAGCTCCAGGAGATTTGTGAGAGCGGGCTTGGACCCCAGACAGACATTGCTCTCTGGTGTGCAGTGACTCCAGTGACTGGGCTGCGTGTCACTGCAGCATCCAGGCCACCAGGTGAGAAATGCATCATGGATGCAGGGCAGCCAACAGCAAGTTGGCATGATGGCACTAACGAACCTTAAATATGCACAAAGAGAAACCACAGCTTGAACTTGAGCTGCTGGGCAACCGGGCTGTCCTGTTTGTGCCCCACAATTCGGACAAAGTGCAGTGTTTCCTCCCTATCTTACTGCCGTAAGACAAGAAACCTGGGGCCGCACAGAGCCTGCTTCCTGCAAGAGGTGTATTTATAGATTTTGAAGCAGCCATAATCTTGCTGCTAACATGCTGTGTGACACCAGGGCTGAGCTGGATGCATTGTTGTTTCATGTTCCTACACATCACCAGAGATGCCCTCCTTGTCCCACAGCAACTCGTTTTTGCCGTATGAAAGCAGGCACTGGGGTGTGGGGTTAGAGGATGGGGGCGTGGGTCTGCCCACCACACTGCTCTTGTTGCAGTTACCAGATCTGTCTGTGCTGGGCTGCAGATACGGATTTTGTATCTCAGCACTGGACCTGTGGAAACAGACCCAGGTGACTGAGGAGGAAACGAGTGACAAGCCAGGCTACAGAGTTGGGTATCAAGGAAATGGAGGGGCACAACATGAATGAACACATGCAGAGATGGGGGCAACGCCATGCGCTGAGGTTACATTTGCAGTAATCCTGTCCAGACGTCTGGTTCCAAGTGGGTGTCTTGCAGTGCCCAGGGTGGTGGGTGTGACAGTAGTTGACACAGGGGTCCCAGCAGTGGTGGTGGTCACTCTTCTGCACCTTGACTGATGGCACCCAAGGAAGCAGAAATCACCACAGGCAGGAAGAAGAAATGAAAGAAAGAAAAGGTAAGAAGCACAAGCCAGGAGATTGTAGAAAAGAGCCTCATACGGGCTCTGAACAAGTCAGGACCCAACCACAGTGTGTCAAGCACCAGCAGTGAAAACGCATCCCCACGTAACCTCATGACACTTGATGCAAAGTGGCAGAAATCCACCCCTTCCCCATAAAAAACTCCACATCCTGAGCCAACAGCCTAAGCCATGCTGGCAGCGCACAGATGTCATCACCATTTGCAGTCTGTTGTGCGACGTGCAGAAACTCCCTCCAGCCACAAGTTTCCCACAGAGGCCATCAGCTTTATCCGACAGCACCAGGGAAACCTCCTTATGCTGTTTCCCACCTTGCTGCTGGAACTGCCCTCCTGGGGACAAGGATCAACACCTTCTGCACATGCCAAGGACTGCTTTGAGCACTTTGCTTGGCTTCAGTATTTGGTTGTGTACTGGCTGCTCTTGGCCGGGAATGAACATATGGATGAAAGAGAGGAGTAGGAGAGGGCTGCCTCCAGTTCACCAGAACAAAAGGGATTTTATACGCCACTGCTTAAAGGCAATTATGGAAGGCCATCGACACAGGAAAAGATGCCAATGCTGTGCCAAACAGTCGATTAAAACATGGCACCAACATGGCAGACTGTTCAAGGGCACGCAACTGCTGCTTCAGCTTCAACCCTAACGCCAGCCCAGCACACATTGGCAGAAATCTGTTGCAGCGTGACATCCATCACCTGGAAATCACTCATCCCAGGAACTGTGGCTTTGCGGCACCAAGTTACGGTGCCACAAGTCTCCTCTGAAGTGCCTCAAACACCTCCCAAGCACAGGTCCCTTGCCTGTTCTCACTGATGCTCCTTCTGACGCGGGAGGCACAGGGTCAGTTTGGTTTTCCTGGCCCAACGGCGCTAGGTTTTCTCTCCCAAATCTCTGCGCTATGCTGTATGGATCTATTTTCTTCCAAGAGGAATTGCTGGATTCTCTAGAAGAGAAGGCTCCCGGGAGACCTTATAGCAGCCTTCCAGTACTTAAAGGGGGCCTACAGGAAAGATGCGGAGGGACTCTTCATCAGGGAGGGTAGTGATAGGACGAGGGGTAACGGTTTCAAACTGGAAGAGGGCAGATTTAGATTAGAGGCAAGGAAGAAATTCTTTACTGTGAGGGTGGAGAGACACTGACACAGGTTGCCCAGAGAAGCTGTGGCTGCCCCCTCCCCGGCAGTGTTCAAGGCCAGGTTGGACGGGGCTTGAGGAATCTGGTCAAGTGGAAGGTGTCCCTGCCCATGGAAGGGGGTTGGAAGTAGATGATCTTTGAGGTCCCTTCCAACCCAAACTGTTCTATGATTCTGACAAGCAAGATTGCAAGCATCTGTTTTATTCAGCTAAGGATGAATGGCATCCCACAGTGGAGCATCACTGCATCCACAAGTTACCCCAGAGCTCTTAACCTTGCAACCACTTGCACTGACTGGCCACTGCCTTCCCAGGATAAGATCTCCTCCAGGCTCTGCGTCCTCCAAGTACACAGAAACACTGCCAGCGCTGGTACTACCAGAGCTTTCTGAGGGTGTAAATCTGGGACAGGGACTCAGTTTATTCAGTGAATCCACCCAGAGATCTCATCTAAAGGTCATCTGTTCATGCCTTTAACAGTGGAAATCCATTTTGTGTGCATGCATTACAGGCATCAAATCATTTAGGTCAGGTTTTCCAACCAATATAGTGATTATATTTAGTCTTTACTAAACACTTAGTGTGTTTAGCATTTAGTCTATCAAGGTCTTAAAAAACATTCTTCCAGCTCTGGGGTTTCCATTTTGTGGATACAAAAGTAAATTCAGAGCCAGGCAGCTTTTAAAAACAAAAATCAAATTAACAAATGTAGCTATATCTAGACAAAAAGGAAAGTTCTTAATAAAATTAAACACTTTGAACATGAGGGACAGAGCTTATGGGCATATATACAAAATCATTTAATCCATTTATAGTAATTAAAACTCTCCCATTTGTCTATAAATTTTTAGCTCATATCTGACAACAGAAAAAATTGCCTTTGAAACTCAGATGACAGTGCATTGGTGAAGAGAGGAGATTTTGGACAATTCTGTGATAAAAACCTACAACAGCCTTCCCTGAGCTTTCACACATCATCCTCGCCTGAGGAAGCCCATCCATCCCAGCACCGCTCCTGGGCACTGTCTGCTCTCGTTGATCTTGTGAGCAGGGCGTAACAAACTCCAAATGCCCCCAGAGTCACAGAGACAGAAAACTCAGTTTGACAAATCCTGTGCTTCAGCATTAGACCATATTTTTGCATGGCCACTGCAGCTTCAGATCCCTCTCTACCTCCTCAATAATCAGACTCTGATTACACGAGAAACCAAAATATAATGACAAGCCCCATGCAGGCACACACTGGAAGGACTCAGTAATGCAAGTGCTGAACAGGGATGTGTCTGCATGGTCTCCTCTCCTCAGCTGCTTCCCCCAGGCTTCACTCTCTTGCCAGGCACAACAGTTTGCTTTTGCATGGCCCATTTTTCTTTACTGCCCCTGTTTCTTTCCCTAAACTCAGAAAAAGCAGCCTGTGGAGTTGGCACTCGGCATCCCTCCCAGGTTGAAACGCAGTTTATCAACTTCAGTGCGGTGAGCAGCTGAGGAACCATGGGCTGCACGGTGCTGTGCCACCACCGAGGAGTACTGCTTTGTGAGCTGCTCCTCTTGCCCAAAACGCTCTCCTTCCTGTCCCTACCACCCCCATCAGCACCGGTGAAGGTTCAAGCCCAAGCACTCCAGCCACACACCTCTGCCTCCTAACAGCCACATGGGTGAACAGCATCCTTCCCTATGATCCCTCACATGTTAAAGAGTTTAATCAGAAGTGGGAACAATTGTTATAGCCCTTATTTTCATATTTATGTGTTGCAATTATTCTCCCAAGTTCGCGTTCTGTATTTCTGCCACAGCAAACTGATCTGATGTATGGAGGTTTGGGTAAAAAGGCTCTGAACACACTGAGCTGTCCTTCCACAGATCCTCCTTCTCCTGCGCTGCTGCTGAATGCATGTATGCTGAAAAAAGATTAGGACCAGGGCACTAATGGAAGGAGGAGAACAGTTCATTTTAACAGCCATTGCAAAAGGATTATAGCTTTCCATTTTTTCTTGGGCACAAAGGTCAAGTCATCCATCCCCTTTGTTAAATTGCTTTAATTCTCCATAAATTGGACTGGACATGTAAGAGATTTATTTCTAGACATGGAGATATTATTAGATTTTATGTTTCACTGCATCATGCTAAAGACAACACAGATATTTTCCTTCTTTCCCCAAATCACCCTAGAAGAGAATGGAAAGAACAGCTCTGCCCAGGGCTACTGTGCACCAGTACTAAAATGCATGTCCCCAAGAGACAAATGATTGCAAATGGCTTCAAAATGGGTTGGTACTGAACAGTCATACCTGAAACACCCAAATTACAAGACCACCAGTACAGACTGTAACAAAACTGCAAGCAAGATTCTACTAGTTCAACAAGAAATCTACTAGTACTGAGGCTATGTTCAAAATGAAGTTTATATGAGATCCTGAGCCAGCCTCTCCTGTGGAAGGAAAAACTAAAAAGTAGGCAACAAGGATGCTCACCAGGATGAATTCCTAATGAAGTTTACAGGCATTTTGGGCTTAATTTCACTCAAGCCAGAATTTTTTTCCCCAGTGTTTCTTTGGTGGGGGCAGTGGAATGCTGCAGCTACAGATGCATTCACTGTACCGCTGGCTGCTCAGAGACAGCTGCCATTCAAACAGGCTGGTCTGGATGATGAACATTCGCATTACAGCTTTGTTTCCCAAGAACTTCCAGCAGGACCCTGCCCAGCTACTAACATGTCCTTTACAAAGCCTTACCAGCCATCAGCAAATGAAAACTGAGCTTGGAAATACATATGCCAGCACCAAGGTTGTTTTCACCACTCTCCATTAAAGTCTTTTATCCGAGGCACTAAGGATTTGCCTTGCACAGCACTCAGCACTGTAAAACCCTGGGATTCCCAGCTCCAATTTCCCCATTCAAGCACAGATGCTACCTTTTTTTCCTATTCACATCCTTTAAGAACGTCATCTAATCACATGCGTTTCATCAAAACACCTCTTTTTTTTTTTTTCCCTCCACAGATGTCTCTCTTTGGAATCTGTTGCCAGCATTTAAAAGCAGCAAGAACCCCAGTAGGGACCTCACGTGAGTTCTGAGGACGACCAACAGTGTTTGCACAGAGGACACACCTGTTTCTGGAGGCTTCAATGGCAGCCTGCTTTGGTGAACAGGTAATATCTCTAGCTTGACATTTTCTGAAGTGGCAGCTAAAAGCTGAGTTGCCTCTAATAAGGAGCAGTGCTCTGTGCTCGTACCATCAATGGAGAGAATATGGTCACCAACATGCAACGCGCCACATCTGCAAAGGAAACAGCAAGAGAAGTAATTATACACATGGCCAAAATCCATGTCCTTACAGTTGGGAGCAGACACATCAAAATCCAACACTGAATTATTGCATGAATTCATATCTCTTTTTTTTACTTCCGATTTGAACTTTAGGTTCAAGCATTGCCCAAAATACCAACTAAGATGGCTCGCACTTCACTCAGTGCTGCTGGTGCCTTGGGAAAGATCTTTTAAGTTTTTAATAGTGCCCACTTATGGCTAGTCTGGATGGCTGAGGGCTCACCCAGCAGTGTAGTTAAGTTCTACGAGCCAGCAGTTCAGCTCAGCAACATGACTAACCGCAGCTAGGGCTGCATAACAGTGTGTCTTTCTGCATCCCCACATAAAGGGTAACTAGCTGACTTGCCCATCAGGAAAAGGCTTTAGACAGAAGCTTCCAGAATAGGATTTTGCTATTCCATAGCTCCAGGGAAGTCAGATCTGAGGTTTTTAAAAGAGAGCTCAGCTTTCACATGCACTGAGTTACATTCATTCCTGGTAAGGAGTGTCCACTGGTGTTGGGTCAGATATTTTTAGCACACTTAATGCTAAGAACACGTGGACGTGGTCGTTTCAAGGTGAGGCAGGGATGAATGGTATATAGCTAATTAAGGGACAAAAAAGCAGCAGAGAAAGGAAAAGCAGAGCTAGGAGCAGCCTGTTCAGATCTGTACCTGTCCACCACGCTGGCTGGCTTGATCTTGTCGATGACAATGACCTGCTTGTTACGGTGCGCAGTTGTTGTCAGCGTGATTCCTAGCGTAGACCCCGGAGTCTTCGCTATTTCAACTAGTAAAGGACCTGAAGCATTTGCTACAGTATCTGCAAAACAAGAGAGCATCTGAAGACACTTCTCATACAGCCTTTTCCATTTCTAAATGCAGGAGGTTGGCCAATAGTGCTGACTTGCCATGTGTATCAGCAAACCTGTAGTTTAGACATCCTACAGTCTGTATCACATGGTAACGTAACAAAGAAGTAAACTCAAGAAGCAAAATTGCTTCTGCACAAAAAATATATGACAATGAAGTAAAGAGATATTACGATTCACTCATGGAAACAACCCCCCTGCCTCTTTTTAGCAAGATTGAGGAAGAGATTGCTCAAAGGCTGTGCAGCAGTCACACCAACTGTATTAAAAGCACAAAAAGAAGATCAGAAGGACATCACTGTTATAAGCTTCTTCCCAAACAAAGAAAAAAGAAAAGGCACAAAGAAACAGGATCCCACTTTCTGAAGTACTCAGAAGTCTTGTGTGCTGATGACCAGCACACAAGTCAGTCAACTCCTCTGTGCTTCAGCACTGCCTTCGAAATATCACCTCAACTGCTCATTTCAGCTCCTCCAGTGTGACAGTGGGAGCAGAGACACAGCACTACCTACCCACAATGCTTACAAAAGCTTCCCCTCTCCCATCAGACAATACAGAGGTAACTCATGTTTAAAAGATGCATTTCTGCAGTAAGCTTAATAGATGCTGTAAGTGAGACTATGAAACTCCTACGAAATTGCACCTGTTAGCATAAGCATTCATCTCTTCTGAGGAAGGGGGAGGAAAAAGAAAGCCTGTGTCTCTCACTGATTAGACAGAAATTCCTTCCATATCTATTACACACATTTGCTTTCAGATTACCTACAGCCATCATAAAGAGGCTGGATTCACGAACACATTATCACCACCAGACATCCCATAACCAGCACTTCATGTGTAGTTTGACCCCCTACAAAAGCACTTCATGGAAACCCAGCCATACACTTTGAAGGAAAGGCCAGCAGAGCCCTCTGAGAGCTTGATGCTTCCTCAGCCATTAATTATTCATAGTAAGGCTTTTCTCTTCCACAGCTATGCTCCACTAAAAATGCTGATGTTACTTGGCTCCAAAACTTGATGCGTGGCTCATTCTTGCTCTCCAATAAACAGGATCATTAATGCAGATCTTGGAAGCTAAGCCACAGCAAGGTCTTTCTTGAGATTTGTTGAAGATGCTGGAGACAGAAATTTCTCCTGGAAATTTCCCCTGGGTATCAGCCAGGGGATGTTCAGGCTCTGGTCTACTCACAGTGCCATTTTTCCTGGAGGGGGAATGAGCCTTGTTAAAGGTTATGCAGGCTTCAAATAAAACACTGTTTATTCTCCGTTGAAAAGGACCACTGGGGAGATCTGCAGGCCCTGGCACAAAGCACAGTCCCAGTTCAATCAAAAGATGCACAAAGTACCCAGCTAAAGCCTGTGGAAGGTGCACTTAAGCCTTCATTAGCAAAGGAAGCACCAAGAGACTGAGGATCTCTTCCAACAGCAAACACCAGCTGCATGTTGGTTTTGCAGCCCCTGTGTGTCCAGCACATACCCTCTGAAGAGGAACATAACCTTATATTCCCCCAGATGAAGGGAAGGAGATAGCAAAAAAAGTCAAGAAAAAAGCTTGCTGGAATGGTAGATCTTTCTTTGTAAGGAAAATACTTACTCCTTTCGGTTTTACCCAGCATCCAAGCTTCTCACTTGTGTTTCCCAGGGACATCTCAGCATAATGATGAGAAGAAAGAGCTTTGGGTACCCACTCCCATGCCAGGACCTATGTTATCAATAAGACTGTAGGAAATCACAGTTCTGCCTCCAGCCCATGGTCCCTCCTCCCACTGCACACAGCACAGGCCACCCCACTGTCCCTTTTAATTCTCATCTCCTGTGGCATAGATGAGAATTGATCCAAATCCATTTTATAGAGGCATTTGTTGAGGAAATACCAGCCAAGTCTCTATTAACT